AGCCAGGCTGGTCGTCTTCCCTGCTGGCTCCTCTTTCAGCACATGAGGACAGTCTGGTTCTGTGCCTTGAATATTTCCTTCTCGAAGAATGTCCAGCCTTCCTGGACACCTTTGTCCTTCAGGACTGCCTCCCAAGCGACTCTCACTCAGTCTCCTAAACAGGCCTTCTGGAAGTCCAGGTGGCAGTTCTGCTGATCCCCCTCTTTACTTCTCTGAGAATCAAAAACTCTGTTGTTTCATGATTGCTTTGCCCAAGGTGTCCTCCAACAGTTACATCACCCAAGAGTTGGCAAAAAACAGGTCCAGCAGGGCATCTTCCCTAATTGGTTCCCTCACCAGCTGTTTTAAGAATTTATCTTGCACACACTCCAGAAGCCTCCCCTCTGCTGTATTATATTCCCAGCAGATATCCCATAAGCTGAAGTCCCTCACCAGAACAAGGGCTAGCAATACTGAGACTGTTCTATGGCTCTGTGTTCCATGACTCCCCAAAATCAGATCAACAACCTTGTTGGTCAAAGCAAGAAAAGCAACTGGCACCGAGAAAACAGTGTAAATTATTTTGTTCAGTTTTGTTGTTAGGTTAGCAGAGATTTGCAAAAATCAGATGTACTAGTTTCAAAATCATGAAGGACATGTCTCAGATGAAACTGCATGCATTCAATTAACTTATTTCCAATGCAAAATCTGTTTTGACCAATTTTTTCCCTGATTCTTCTATATTCTGGGTAGTTTTACTAATCAAATAATACTGTACGTTCTAATAGAAAAATCAAATTCCATTAAAATGCAATTTACAGAGACAAGGAAAAATGTATCTATAAATAAAAATGCAACATCCACCAATTAACAGAGAACATAATGGATAACTGAAATAAATTTACAATAAATCAAGAAAAGACCTTAAAATAATAACAAAAATTATTTGCAGAAAAATTCCAACAAAAAGACTTAAAGCTTCTGACACTGCTCATAACTACAAGAAATTAAAGAAATAGAAAGGAAATGAGCTGGAAGCATATCATACGATGCTACCCTGAACTTATTACCCATTGTTAGTATCTTTACAGGCCAGAGAAGGCTGGGGATGTGAAAATCATAGTAATGTTGCTTAGTTAGAACCTCTGGAGCTTATCCAGGCCAACATCACACTTTAAGTAGGCCTACATGCAACAAGGTCAGGTCAGCTGGTGCTGTTCGGTTAAACCTGTCACAGAAATCTTCAAAAATGGAGATGACAAAATCTCTCAGTGGAGATCTGCTCCAGCCCTGTGCTGCCCTTCTGAGGAGAAGTCCCTTCCACTAGATTCCCGTGTGTTAAGACCACTGAGCTTCATTCACATTAAACAAACAAGAAACTTTTAAGTTCGGACTATCTTCATTTACAACCAGATGTTTCCTGCACCAAAACCAGAAACAATGCAATGCCATTATTTAAATCACAAATGATATTTAGAAATACCCCTTAAATCCATTTAGTTGAGATTGTAATCCAGCATATTATAAACTATCAGAAGTTCCAATTTTGTCAACGAAGCAGAAGAAAATAGTACACTCATTACAAACCATCTTTTCGATTCCAAACCTAACATCTTGCCTCTCTGCATATTGATTTTCCCCCAGTACAAATCACTCTCCCTTCCTCAGACTGTCTACATGGGTAATAAGGCAGAAGGGCAGACATGAAATTACTTACAGTCTACTAAATTCTCTCTCCCTGATGTTAAAACCTGGCCTATACATCTGGGCCTCCAAACGCTCTGTGACATTTACTTCAGGACTCTAGAGATGCTCCTGTGTTATTCTGAAGGTTGACAGTGGTGACCTCAGTTACTCTAAGACATGAATGTTATTCTTCACAAGTTACTGCTCAAGTTCTTCCAGGCGGTAGAAGAAAATCTGGCACTACTAGATGACATATAGAATATATTTGCCAGGGAAGTAACAAAGTAAAAATACTGATTTTTCCACCACAATCTATACATACACATGTCCTGGTTTGTCTGGGATAGAGATAATTTTCTTCCTAGTAGCTGGTAAAGTGCTGTGGTTTGGATTTAGGATGAGAGTGATGTTGATAACACACTGATGTCTCAGCTGTTGGTAAGCAGGGTTTACGCTAAGTCAAGAAATTTTCAGCTTCTTACACCAACCCACCAGGAAGTAGGTGGGGGCACAAGAAGCTTGGAGGAAACACAGCCAGGATGATCTAAACTGACCCAATAGATATTCCGTACAATATGGTGTCACGCTCAGTATATGAACTAGATAGAAAGCTGGCTGGGGGTTGATGCTCAGGAAATGGCTGGGCATTGGTTAGCAGGTGATGAGCAACTGTATGTGCATCACTTGTTTTGTATATTCTGATTCTATTATTATTATTCATTAATTTTATTGTCCTATTAAATCTCTTCATCTCAACCCAAAAATTTTACTTTTTTTTTTTCCCCCCCAGTTCTCTCCTCCATCCCACTGAGGAGCAGGGAGTGAGAGAGCAGCTGTGTGGTGTTTAGCTGCCTGCCAGGTTAAACCAGGGCAACAAAATCAGGAGAAAAAGCACAGTAAGCAAATAAGGAGACGATAACTAGCTGCCCATACTCCAGACGTATGCTTACAAATATGCACTGTTTGCAATAATAAAATATTCTGACATTCTCTAACCAAAAATCACAAATCAATAATATTAATCTTTAATACTTCCTACTTTGCTACAAGTTGATTCATTACGAAGTCCTTAGGTTAACTACAGTATTGCCATATCACATTACAGCAGCCCTGAGGACATGGCAGGACTGCTTATCTGCTTATCTTGGCATGGAAGAAGCTAATGGGGGTGTCCATTTTACCTATGGGCGTGGCATGAACCCCGAGGCAGAACTGTTGTTGTCACCCCAACAGATCTCTAAATATAACAGCTGCGGATCACTTCTTGCTAGAAAATGTTATTGCTTTTAGTGCTCACAAATGTGTAAACAAGATTTAATGTGGTTGCTGATTTTATAGTGTCTGAGGACAGACCCATGAAAAACTGAGTTCTTTCCTTTACGGAAAGAGACAACTTGAAATTTGATATGGTGTCAAAAATCAGACATGCAAGGTAAACATATAACTTATGTTTTCTATCCTTTAAAATTTGCTAGCAAACCAGGTACATACTTCATTTTGGAGGGGGGGTAAAAGGGGGGATCTGAGGTGGGGGCCTGTGCTCTGAGTATAGTTTATAGGCAAGAGATTACAACTTCTCAAGTCCCCTGTGTTCCAGCAGGAAGGGGCTGAGCAGAGGGAGGGGTTCATACAGGGTCTGTGAGGCTGGTGCCACGAGTTACTGGTACAGCCAATGAGGTGGTGCTGGCTTGCTTCCTCCAACTGCTGTGGATTCGGCTTCCTCACTGCTCACCCCCCAGCACAAACCCGTTGCAGAAAGCATGCCATGGCCCAAACAAGAGCTTCAGTCGGTTGTTCACCAACTGCACATCTCACGGGCCTCAAGCCATCTTCATTACATACAATCCTTTCTTTGTTAGCCAGAACCAGGGCAACCTGGGATACTCAGGACAGTGAAGAGCAGGAGGAAGCCTTGATAGCAAGGGAACATGATGCAAATGCACACTGCTGTGTGGAGTTGGCAACGAAGGTTTATTAGTGCCAGTTCAATTTCAGCCTGACAGTCTTTCTTCTCAGGCCACTCTCTTGCACATGAGGTTTGTGGAATACTTGTGCCTTGAAGGGCACAGAGTGCACCATGGTTGTGCAAGTTCAGAGGCTTCTGCTCTGAGTTCTTCCCACCTGGAAATGATTCACTGCAAAAGTAGCTCACATGTCTCTGCCTGTGGTCCAGTTGAGTAGAAAAGTGAATAAACCACCACTGGACAATCCAATGTTCCAGTGCTGGTGGGTAGCACCCCTGTACACACAGCAGATTATCTAACAGACACCAGGCTTATGCCTAACCTTTGCCAAAAAACAGTGTGTGTCTCTCACTGACAACCAGAGAAGGCAGGCAGGCAGCCAGGCAGGCAGTGTAGCATCCTGTGTGGCAGGACGAGTGAACCCTGCTCCCATTGCACACAGCACCCTGAGCCTGGACAAAGCACATGGTGCCAGGGTTTGGCTGCAACCTGGCTCCAGTTCTCCCCTTCCAGGAGAGAGGCAGCAGCCAGACTAGACACGAACTTTGTCAAGTTCACAGATTATTTAGAATTAGAAGGGACCTCTGGAGATCACCTAGTCCAACCCCACTGCTAAGGCAGAGTCACCTAGAGCAGGTTACATAGGAACATATCCAGGTGGGTTTGGAATGTCTCCAAAGAGAAAGACCTCTCTGGGCAGCCTGTTACAGTGCTCTGCCACCCTCAATGTAAAGAAGCTCTTCTTCACATTGAGGTAGAACTTCACACGTTTTAGTTTACGGCCATTACTCCTCATCGTGTCTCTGGGTACCACCAAAAAGAGTCTGGCACCATCCTCTTGACACCTGCCCTTGAGATATTTACATGCATTGATGAAATCCCCTCTCAGTCTTGTCCAGACTAAACAGGCCCAGCTCCCTCAGCCTCTTCTCATAAGAGAGATGCTCCAGACCCCTAAACATCTTTGCGGCCCTTTGCTGGACCCTCTCCAGTAGGTCCTTGTTGTTCTTGCACTGAGGAGCCCAGAACCGGACACAGTACTCCAGACTCCAGGTCCGGACAGTCTCTGTCCTGTCCCTTCATCTTACAGCAGGCATGGCCCATACCCTGGTTGGTGCTTTCGAGGCAGCCCTGGGTCTGGCACAGGGACGGGGGGCTGCCCATTCCCTGCGCTCCGAGCCGGGCCCAGGACAGTGCGGGTCCCGCTGTCGCTCCCGCCCCCAGGGCAGGCTCGGCTCCCCCGCAGGCTCCCCGGGCTCCGCACTGCCCCGCGCCCGCGGCCCTGCCCCGAGCGCCGCCCGGACCCCCCACGCCTCGGCAAAGAGACCCGCTGCCCCCATCCCCCTTCTGCCCCGGAGCCCTTCCCCGCACCTGTAGTTGTAGCCGCCGAAGCGCTGGCTCTCCCGCAGCAGGGCGCGGTACAGCCGCAGCACCTGGGCACGGCTGGACGCTGCCATGTTGCCGGCACCGGGGCGGCTCCTCCCGCGGCGGCGGGGCCCCTTTTCCCCGCCCTCCCGCGCCGGGCGGGCGCAGCCGCGGCGGGAGCGGGGCCGCAGGGCCGGCGGTGAGTGAGCGGCGGCTCGGCCCGGGCCCGGCGCAAGGCCCGGGCGGGGCGGGGAGAAGGCGCGTCCCCGGGCGGGGCAGCCCCGGGGCCGGCGGGCTCGGGGGCCGGGCCGGGTCGGGCCTGCCCGGCAGCTCCGGCGGGGAGCACAAGGCGCGACCTGCCCCGAGGCTCCTGTGAGGCTCGGCCGTGCCCCTGTGAAAGGCCCGGGACGGGGAGGGAAGGCCCGAGCGACAGGGAAAGCGAAAGCAGCGCTCCAGAGACGCTGGTCGGTGACGGCAGCGTGGAGGTGCCCACCCCGCACTTGTTGGTGTGCCACAGGCGGTGGGATGGGGTCAGGGGCTGGAAACTAGCAACAGGTGATGTGTGCCAGGAGATTGCTTCGGAATCGCTGTAGACATTTGCAGTCAGTGTTCACGTACTGAAGGGGGTCCAGTGGAGGGCTGCAAAGATGATGAGGGATCTGGAGTATCTCCTTCATGAGACTGCAGAAGTGGTGCCTGTTTAGTCTGGAGAAGAGAAGACTGAGAGGGGACCTCATTAATGCATGTAAATATCCCAAAGGCGGGTGCCAAGAGGAGAGTGCCAGGCTCTTTTCAGTGGTGTCCAGAGACAGGACGAGGAGCCATGGACATAAACTCAAAAAGTTCCACCTCAGCATGAGGAAGAGCTTTACACTGAGGGTGGCAGAGCACCAGAACAGGCTGCCCGGGGAGGTTGTGGAGTCTGCCTGTCTAGACATTCCAAACCCACCTGGACACCTTCCCCCTGTGTAACCTGCTCTAAGTGACTCTGCCTTGGCAGAGTCATTGGACTAGGAGATCTCCAGAGGTCCCTTCCAACCCTAAATATTCTGTGATACTGTGAAATCACTGCAGATTTTTGCAGTCAGTGTTAATCAGTGCTAATGTTCTAGGCCCGAGTGTATTACTGTGTCATGTGAGTTGTTCCTCTCTCAATATCCCATTTTAAGATGAATTCTCTGCCTTAAACTAGCTTGACCTGTATAGTTATAGTTCAGTTGCTGCTTAAGTAGTGAGAGCCTCTGACAGAGGTTAGCAAGGATTTCCTGCCTCTGTGCTTTTATTTCAATGGGAAATCTCCATTTCGTAACTCCTTTTCTTACTTTTTTCACTGCCTGAGAAATGACCACATGGGTTTTATCAGTGCCCTCCTCTAAGGTTCTCCATTTGTACAGGTTTTCAGAAAATAAATAATAGTATCAAACTTTGGGTAAATTTAACACACAGGCCCCATATGTGCTGAAACTGGCCTTGGAGAGGGTAGGACCCAGTCAGGAATCAGTGTACAAGTGCCTGTGTATCTTACAGTCCACAGAACAACAGACCAAAGCCATTTAAAAAGTAGATTCTATCTGTTTATTTGCTAATTTTTGGTCTTTCCTCTCTGCTGTGAGGCTGGGCCTCTTTTTCTACTTAGGAACTTCTTTTTCTGTTTATACCAGGGGCATCCTGGTCCTTTTGTTGCTGGAAACAGCACATATCTAACATTCTCCTTTGCAGAAAGTTTTGCCACTGCAGAATAAACTTATCTTTGTACCTTACAGGTATGGTGCTGCAGGTATACTTAATACTGATTTTTAAATGTTATTAATAGTACAATGTATTTATAATCATGACAGGGTTCCTATTTTCTCCACAGTATGCTTTTTATATAGTAGATGTATAAATATCTATCATGTAGGTATTTATACATGTCTCTGGCAAAAGTGTTTCAATTGCTGCTACTAATTAAACTCATTTTATTGTATATGCACTTTGGGTATTATTATTTGTGTCTGTTGTACGTCTAATGCAATTTATGGTTTGTTGCAAAGACCTAAAATAATTCTGTGCTTCTGAATGTAAATAGTAGAGACACACATGGAATTATGTCAAATTCATCTCTACAGGTATGTTATGTTTTAACAGCCCATTTAGGCTTCTGGAAATGGATATTTTCCATACACAGAAAATTTCTTGGATATTCTCTTTATCAAAGCCCAGACTAGAAACGTTAGAGGAAATGTTGCATTTTTCTAGAAAAATGTAAGCAACTACAACGATGGGATAAGCAGAACTTAGGTTTGAGAGTTTAGCAAAGTTATGTGACATCATTCTGTGGATGAGTGTGGCAGTTGTTCCATGGAATTTTACAACAGCACTCAGTTATTGTTGGAAATAAAGTTTTCATGTTGTGATCTTCAGCTCTAAAAGATGATAGAGTAATTGGGATGAAAGCATTAAGCAAATTTTGTTTACCTGAAGACTATTGATTTAATATTTGAAAAGCAATTATAAATTATTTTGAAATAGCCTCTGGTGCTAATCCTGTTCCTGAATCTCCCTGACAGTTTTTCTGAGTTTCATTTTTTTAATTTTTTTTTTAGGTAGCCATGTTTTTCTCTTAAAGAAGCCTGGAAACCCCATGTGTTTAGAATAAGCAATAAGATCATGCAATGGATTATCAAATTCAAAGTAAACCTATCAAAGGAGACAAGTCTTTCCTCTTGTCTCCTTAATGTAGCTTAACCTCTAATACACTCAAGGAGGGAAGAACAATTTTTAGCAGAAACTTGTAATCTTTGTCCAGTTGGATTGACACTGTTAACTGGAAAAATTATTTATTTTCTTATGTATTTTGTTACTGTGCTTCCTTGCATGCAGTGGATTATGGTCTCAGAAGCACTGAATTATGGTCTCAGAAGTCCTATCATTCTGCAGGAAGTGGACATTGCCTCTGCTGTGACTGGAGCACACGTGTTTCTGCTGGCCTTTGTATATGTGCATCACTGTAAGCCTGCAGAGAATTTGAAGAAAAGACACAGCTCAAATGACCATTGTTGTGTCCTGTGCCTATGTATAGGGAAGCACTAATAGCCACTTAATTAACTACCTCCTCATTTCCTGGGGGAAAACACCACCTGAATTTAATGCAGTCATCAAGCCAAAACCAGTCAGTGCATGGGTGGATTCTCCTCCCCCCTGCCCCGCCCAGCCCCCAACCTCTCTTTTTAAAATTCAGTGCTTGTTAACTATTATATTTTATGGAGATATTTTTCTTACTTGCAGTGATACTTATTGGTTAAAGGAGTTTGTGGGTGTTCATTTGTGCAGAAGTCTTCTTTCAGCATTTGGTCTGAGGAAGGAAGGTTCATGTGCCTTGCCTTTCCGCATCTCTTGGGATAAATAAGCACTTTGAGAAGGACAAAACAGTATCCATACCTGGAATATTTACTGATATTCTGAGGATGTAGCTGCTAAAAGAAAAGAAGGAATTTGAATGAAATAACTGCAGAGACTGTGGACTGGTGTGAAAAGAAACAGCTGTTCTATTCTCTGGAGCATATTTGCTGTCTTGTCGTATGCTGCCGAATAGTTCCTTGTGGTGCACTATTTCAGCTTTATGACATGGCCCTGAACACTTTCACAGAGCATGTGTTTTCCTGGTACACTGCTGTTGGTTTTTGTTATTTTTCTTTGGGGGTCAGAATGATAATTGATTGTTGTGATATTATCATCATCTCTTCTAATTATTGTTTTTCAGTTTATGAAAACATTGCTAACTTTACCCTGCTGCTGTGGTATGGTGTCTCTCTTCTTCCCTGCTCTTAGTTCCAGATTGACAGCGTTGTGCACAGGGAGATCCTAGACAGCAGAGCAGGACCGTTCAAAGAAGGACTGTAAATCACAAGAATTTCGGAATTTCAGTGACAAGTGTAACAAACTATAATTTAACCATTCCCTATGATGAATAAGATTTCCACAGTATTAACAGGAGGCCTTGACTCACTCTGCTATTTTAAAATATTTATATTTAATTGGTTGTCCTAAAGAAAGGAACATTTTTATTCAGGAGGAGAAACTACCATGTTTCAAATTCAGTTATACTCCTAAATTCTTACTGCGTTTTGAAAAATTTTGCCTAGAAGTTCAAAGGGAAGGAAAAACCATGACAAAACTCTAATCTCTCAGTTTTTGTGAGTTTTCCCATCTCTTTCCAAACTGAATCACAGAATGTTGTGTATTTTTTGAAGTAAGATTGTAAGAGTAGTAATAATACAAAAACCAAATCCCAACCAGTAGTGCAATTTCTGTTGTAATACTTGGTCTTCTAAGGGAATACCTGTTTTTCCACTGCTCCTAAACCTTTGCTGGTTCATGATCTCTTCTGCTGCAGGTACTGAACTGAAAGTTCACCAAATTTTGTTTTCCTTGTTGGCCACAGTTTTAACTTCCTAATTTCTTGTGGCAGTGTGCAACAGCAGAGGACTTCGTGGGCCTTATGTTGGCTGACAATTAAGCAGCTGATATTAGGCAGCTGGACAGTTCAGCAATCACAGGATAACGTCTGGATTGATGATATGCAGTGTTGATATACACCATATTGGTTTTGAAAGATGTTGTTAGTGGACATATGTTGGTAAAGTACTTTGAAATGTTTGAAATAAAAATGCTATAAAAGTCCAGAATTAAAAGGATAATTTTGTGTAACAGTAATAGGCAAGAGAATAAATAATAAAGGATTAAAATTACCAATAGTGCTGAAATAGTTCAGCATGCAGTAGTTGCATCAAATGTGAATGGCACTTCTAACCTTAATGCTGATAAAAGCCAAGGTATTTTTTAAAATGAAAACCCCACAAGAAATTAACACATTTTTGCTGCGTGGTTGTTTGTTATACTGCAATTTTACCCAGAAGTCTAATAATGAAAAGCATAAAAGACAGGATTAATTAAGTGTTCTCATCCATGGCCTCATCAATTCAGAAATGTTTTCTTTGCTGTGCTTTCCAGTGTTTTATCAAATTTAGCCTTAAATAACTTCCATTCCTGGGGGAAAATATATTCTACTTTATATTGTATTGCTGTTCAGAAATGCTTTCTGATGCTCAGCCTATGCCACCGTCTTCCCTGAGTGCATCCCACTTTTTAATTTTATGCCCCTTAGAATCAGGCTGTTTAATTCCTCTC